TTTGGTAACCACTAGTCCCTTATTGGAGTCTGTGAGTCTGCTGTTGTATAAAACCATGAAGTTTTAAAAGTGAGAAAGCATTTTTTTCTCTCTTTTATAAATTAATTGGTGTATATTGTAAGGTGAGTATCTCTTTTTTTCTTTCCAATCATTACTCCCTCTCTCCAGTACCATTTTTGGAATAATTCTTTCTTTCACCCATTAGTTGTTAATGCAACTTTCTTATATGCTAAATTCTTATTACTACACAATACTTTTTATATTGTATTTTCTGGAGCATCCTGCTCAATTGACTTGTCAATTCTTGTGTTGGTACCAATGCAAATAGCATAAGAAATCAGACTGAAACAATGATTCATGGCCCTCTTAGAATTTGCCTTTTGAAACAGCAGGCCCCTCACCGTACACAAAGTTCCCTGCACACCATGCTGTCATCTCTAATGGCTCTCCCAATGAATTTAATACATCCCATTTACTTCTAACACTGGCTCACTCCAGCTGTAGGAGCAAGTAGCTAGTGCTGTGGAAAGAGGCCAGCAAATGACAGAACAAGCATAAATTTGGATAAGGAAGAAAATTCAAAACAAAGCTCTCAATTATCCTGAGTGAATAAAAACTAATCCCAAAATGTTACAATTCCATTGATGGGACATTTTTGAAATATTTAAATTTTACAAATGGAGAACAGATTAGTGGTGGCCAGGGAGTACAGCTGAGAAGGTGGGGGCAAGAGAAAGTGTTTGATTATAAAAAACAACAGGAGGGATTCCTTGAGAGAAATGTTTTATGTCCTGACTGTAGCAGCAGATACACAAACCTACATATGTAATAAGACTTTGCAGATCCAAACATGTGCACACACACACATACATACACAAATACGAACAAATAAAACTGAGGAAATCTGAACATATTGGTGGATCGTTTTGATATGAATAACCTGATGGTGATAAGTACCATAGCTTTGCAAAATGTTACCACTGGGGAAAACTGGATAAATTATAAGGAATCTCTGTATTACTTCTTACTACTGCATGTGAATCTGAAATTCTTTCAATAAAAATTTAAGTACAAAAAACCCACAAAGGTCTTTCCTTAGTTATTAATTTTGGTTTTTGCAACTGATTGGGAACCTACCCTTGCAATCGCAACATAATTCAATCTATCGAAAGTATAGCTGTTCAACAGAACTTTCTTCTGTGATGGAAATATCTCTTACCTGCACTGTCCAATACAGTGACCACTAACCATGTGACTATGGAGCACTTGAAATGTGGGTCATGCAACATAAAGAGCTGAATTCTAAATTGTATTATTTTGATTACATTTAAATGGACGTTTGTCACTAGTGACTATCATAAAGGGCAGCTCACAAACGAAACTTGACAGTGTAGTCCTCAATTGCTCTGTTGTTAGTAAATAGTAAGAAAATTCTTCTCCCGCCGCTAAACTAATTTATGAACTTTCTGAGGATCCATCTCCTCACTTTAAAATGGAGATAAGATGCATCCTAATGTGTGAGAAAGGGTTTTAAAGCCGCGTGGCACCTGCACCCTGTAGGCCATAAACACAGGTAACTTGATGACTTTACAAGCGTCTACGGAGATATCCCGGGATGATTCAATAAACGTTCCCCACTATTAGGTGAAAAGTAGTGAAGACTAAGCCAGTGGCTTTGCCTTTACATACTTCGGGAAAAAATCCACACACACTTCATCCCTTGTCTTGTTCTTTCAGCTTATGCCACAACTGTTGTTCCAAAGACTCAGTTCAAACGGTATTTTGTCAACCAAGAAAAAAAATTTCTGTACAAATGCCCTATCTCTTCAAGTGCTACTGTCAATAGCTGAATAGTTGGGGGAATACGAGGAAAAACTCTTGGACAACCAGGAATAAAGGTTCAATTTAAATGTAGTCACACGACCAAACGGAAGGGTTCGCTGCAGCCAAGCGGGCAGTCGGCAGCCGCCAGCAGCCCGAGCCGTCAGCGGGGGCCCGCAAACTGCCACCCTGCCCGGGGCCTTGGCCTTCTCCGCGGGGCGGGGCCCGAGGCTGCGCATGCGCGCTCCGCCGCTAACCCAACCAGCACCGCGTAGAAATTGAGGCGCCAGCTATACTGACTCCTTTCCGGTTGAGTCCACGCTCAACGCCCGCGCCGCGTAACCCACCACCCAGTCATGTCATTCTGCACCCGCGTGGCGCTGGTCACCGGGGCCAACAAGGGCATCGGCTTCGCCATCTCGCGCGACTTGTGCCGGCAGTTCCCGGGGGACGTGGTGCTCACATCGCGGGATGCGGCGCGGGGCCAGGCGGCCGTGCAGCAGCTGCAGGCCGAGGGTCTGAGCCCGCGCTTCCACCTGCTGGACATCGAAGACCCGCAGAGCATCCGCGCCCTGCGCGACTTCCTGCTTAAGGAGTACGGGGGCCTGGACGTGCTGGTCAACAACGCGGGCATCGCCTTCAAGAGTAAGGAAGGGGCAGGGTGCTGGGACGGCAGGCGAGGAGGTGACGCGGAACACCCCCAGCCAGGATGGGCTGGATTTGTCTGGAGATCGCTGTTGTGGGGGGGGCTCCTTCTGCCTTCGGGTCCAGAATGGCTCCCTAGGGAAGGAGGAAGCGTGGGGGGACAGCTAGAGCAGAGTCCAGCGGGAATTGGAGGGAGTCCCAGCCAGAGGGACCTTTGTGTTTCTTTGGCTCAGCTCCTGGGGATGTTTTCCGGGTGGCACAGTTTCCCTCGGATTGGAGTCTAGGGGAGTTAGGTGAACTTTCAATGCATTTTGAAATAAAAAAAATTTCACAAACTGGTTCACAGAGATCCCATGTGTGCTCCCTTCACCCAGCCTCCCCAATGGTACTCTCTTACAACACTACAGAACATTATGGAACCCTGAAATTGACAAGAGCACAACTGTAACTAAATGCCAGTACAACACAAAATTCACAGATTTCACAACCACTTTTTTCTTTATATCATTCTATGGAAGTTTTACAACATGACTACTATTTATTATTTCTACTTTCTTTCTCTCCTAAAGCTAATGATTCCACACCATTTCATATTCAAGCAGAAGTGACGATGAAAACCAACTTTTTTGGTACCCGAGATGTCTGCACGGAGCTGCTGCCTCTGGTGAGACCACAAGGTGAATCTAGTGAGCAGCCCCCACAGAGTGACTCTGGTGTGATATGGCCCCGCTGCCCCTGACCTCATCTCAGGCTCTGTGCACTCTACACTGGCTCCCGGGGTGTGTCTCCTCAGGACCAGGGGCCCCTCTTCTCTGGACTACACACTTGTCAGTGGCCATCAGTGATAACGTCCCCTGCACAACTGCCTCTTTCTCTTCCTCAGCTCTTCAGTCAAAGTCTCCCTCCACAGGCCCTTTACTTGTTCTCTGCCCCTCACACACGGGGGTCCCTGAGCACGGTCCAGGAAAGACCAGGCATGGAGCTTCCAGTCGTCCTATCCCAGTGGAGTCCTGTGGATAGCATGGAATTCTCCCAGCAACCATGTGTGACAGTACGCATGGATCCTGCCAAACAAGAAGCTCATCTAAGCATTGATGTTCAGGTGTTTTTGTTGTGGGTTAGGCACATAGACATGACCCACCTCCTTCTTAGCCCAAGGCCCTGCCCTAATCACAATGTTAGCATAGATTATGTAGCTTGACCCTTGATCCCCAAGTAAACAAGGACAATCTTACCAGAACATTCCAAGGGTTTAAAGATTACCTCCCAGCAGTCTGGGGCAAAGGGCCAAACTTCCTCTTTGGCCAGGCTTAAATCATTCACTTTCACAGGCCACCATCTGGTCCTTCTCCAAGGCTGTCTTATAGCCAAAGAATCATTGAGCATCTGCATTTAGTACAGAATTTATATGACAGATACAGCAATAGTATCAAAAGTATGCCTAACATTTTGGAGCAGCCAGAGTAGGGATAGATTTAAAGGAACACATAATCCATCCCATAAAGCCACTAGATACATTTTCTTGTTTTTGTACCAATTTGATTCTCCCCTTTGTCAACTGCTAGTTATACTTTATTTAGCATAGAACTATCTGTGCAGAACTATTTAGTATTGTTAAGAGAGGAACTGAGGCATGTGAAATATTTCAGAGTTTGAGAAAAAAATCTGTCTGAATCAGGAAGCACCAAACTAGAAGTTATCAGGATCCCTCCAAGGACAGGTGCTGCAGTGAGACTATTACAGAGAAAAGGTGGACACAAAGGGAGGAAATGATTGGTTGGCTGTAGCTTCAGGCCTTGTTGGCTGTCTGTGATTGGTGGTTGTTTGCTTTTGATTTTGTAACTTTGAAGCATTTACTGGCTTAAATTTTGGTTTCCTTAAGTAGGCTGCCAGGGTATTAGAGCCACCTCAGTGTAACGGCCTCCTTTTTTTTAACTAATGTAGCAGTATGAAAGCTAGCTGATGGTCAGCTAAATCCAGTTTTTCATCAAGCCATTCATTTTCCATTGGTATTACATCCTGAGGAGACGAACTCAATCTGCCAATGCATTGATCATCAGTATCATCATGTGACTCATTCATATATGGCAGTTGAATATTACCAACAAGGCCAGTGTTTCACAACATCACAGCACGTGTAACCTGAAAAGTAAGAATTGAGAGAATAGCATATTGCTGAAGTCCCATTCAGTCATTAATGATTGGTTCAGCTTATCACCGTGTAATGTGACCACATACCCCAGCTGATGCCACTCAGATTCACAGGCTTCTGTTCCACCCTGTCAGGTCTCTAAATCAGCTGTGGTCTTGGCAAATGTGGCTTCACCATTTTAGGCATCTGGAATAATTGAGCTAAGAGATGGTATCATCTCCTGCAGAGCATAGAGCTTTAATCCTCTTGCTGCATAACCCGTTTATTCATGCCTTTAGCCCTCAAGTTTTCATTTTTCCTTCTCCCCATTTATCATTGACTTTACCCAAACTTTTTCACTTTCCAAAGGGACGTCAAGTCCAGCCACTGTGCTGATCCGGATTGCCTACAATGATACTAGTCTAACAAGTGCCTGCCCTTCAGTTCACCTCCAACCACATAGGGTAGAGTTGCATAGGTCCAAAATGAGTGGGCTGTCTTAACCACTACACAGTAAAGCTGCATTTGCTGTTCCTCCACTTTTGCCAGATGGGGTGAAGGCACAGTGCATTCACTCCATCAGGCCCTTAGGAATTCTGACATAAAGGGTTAAAGCTGTAGCTATAGTTTCTTGCTTAGGAATTATTCCTGCTTCTATATCTGCAGTTGCAACCTTGGTCTCAGGACCACCATATTAGGCAGGAAAAAAGAAATGTGAGGTGATATGGGGAAGAGCTGTATAGTCACCAGGGCATCCTTCCCCAGCTACCCCAGCAAAGCAGAAGAATCTATCCTGTGGGGAATCTCCCTTGGTTCACCTCAGATAGTGTGATCACATGCTCATGAATGTATGTAAGCCAGAGCTTCATGCCCTTACCTCCTCAAGTTTGAGACAACCAGGGTTTGAACTGCACCTTCCAGTTTTCTGCCAAAACACTACTCTAAGGATGCAAGTGGGTTGCTTGATCTGCAGAAATGTAACTTACTCCAAATTGGTGCGGTGTCTTCTGTGCCAGTCCTTGGACACGTGCATCTACTTCTGGGATGTAGAACCTGGGTTGCAGAGAGCATCTCATCTTGCCAGGACCCATTTGTAGCCTCCCAGGGCTACTACCTTCAACCCTACTAGCCATTGTGCAGGACCTTCCCCTCGGAGAATCTTTCCCATGACCACCTGCAGTCTTTTGTCTCTCTTGTGGCAGACAGAACAGTCGCTGGCATTTTCTGCCTCAGAGGGTGTGAGACCATGTCAACAATTATCCCATCTCTGGATGCTGCAGCACCCCATTCCCACTCACTCATAGACCCAGGTGGCCACTTCAAACCCACACGCCAGGATATCCCCTTGCTAGTTCTGGTTCCCTTCCGGCTCTGGAAGTGGTTTTCTTGATGGGCATTAACATGTCCTACTCTAACTTCCCCCCAAATTCCCATAGTGGCTTCCAAAGGGCCATACCCTATATAGGCATCCCTTCAATAGTCCAGTGTTCCCTGCCCCTCTCCAGGACCATATTGTCAGGCCACTGCTCATGAGTTGGTCAACACCCAAACATGGAGAAAACAGCATGCAGTTCTGCCTACTGAGCTGACTTGACTTCTCCTGACTAGAGCAGAGCAGCCACCTTCCAAACCAGAAGCTGTATGTTCACCATGGAACTGTCATCAATAAACCAATCAGCTTTTCGTTGGCCAGTAGACACCTGTTTCTAGAGCTGACCATGTGCCCATAAGATCCTCATATTAAACCAAAGGTGGCCTTAAGTGGAGAAAGGCTGTCTCATCGTGAAGTATAATGAGCACCTCCTTACCTTCCCCTTAGCATGTTCCTGTATAAACTCTCATTTTCTTATGCAGCTTCTGGACACTGCCCTCCCATGAAAGCATTTCCTTGACCTCATTTGAGACATGAGTACAACAAGTTTCGACTGAGAAAAGAGACAACTGAAATTTTACAGAAACATTATTTGGGGTCTTGGAATTGCCATTTGGGGAGCACAGATTGAGGTGGCAGCCCAAATTGTGCCCCACAAGGGAACAAAAGCTAGGGGTTTTTAAAAACAAAAGGGAATGCTTGTATGTGTTACTTATATAGAATTTTGATTGATGTTGGAGGTGCAAACTAATCTTGAGTGAATATAATATAATTGGTTGCTAAAGTTATCACCCAGCAAAGTCTCTTACTGTATGTAGCAAGGTGCAGGTATTCAGGCTCAGTCCTTGGAATATTGGCAGTTTAACCAGTTCACAAGTTCATGGTTCCAGTGGTAAATACATAAGGCTCATCCCCTTAATGGGCTCCTGGCTCCATTTTAAAACCCCCTGGTATAAGGGAATCCTTTTTTATTTCATCCTCCACATAAGTTTCAAGACTGTATCATGACCATGACTATAGAGTCTTAATTAATGCCCATAACCACTGGTAATTTTCTCTCAAATGCAAATGTTCTGGTCCAAAGTCCTGGAGAATTTAGTATTCATCATGCTTGTGCATGCATTTCTACATAACAATTTGTGTCGTATTTCAGGCAGAGTGGTGAATGTGTCTAGCATTGTGAGTCTCAGAGCTCTTAAAAACTGCAGCCCAGAACTGCAGCAGAAGTTTACAAGTGAGACCATCACAGAGGAGGAGCTGGTGGGGCTCATGAACAAGTTTGTGGAAGATACAAAGAATGGAGTACACCAGAAGGAGGGCTGGCCTAATACTGCATATGGAGTGACAAAAATTGGTGTCACAGTCCTGTCCAGAATCCAGGCCAGGAAACTGAGTGAGCAGAGAAGTGGGGACAAGATCCTCCTGAATTCCTGCTGCCCTGGATGGGTGAGATCTGACATGGGGGGACCCAAGGCCTTGAAAAGCCCAGAAGAAGGAGCAGAGACCCCCGTGTACTTGGCCCTTTTACCCTCAGATGCTCAGGGACCTCATGGACAGTTTGTCATGGAGAAGAAAGTTGAGCAATGGTGAGCTCATCTCAGAGCTCCCTCCATGGGCCCACCACATGGCCTGTCCTGATCTGACCAAAAGGACATGTATATAGTCAGAAATTTCCCTATCAAAACAAACAAAAGGAATCACCACACCTATAGAGTACCCACTCTGAGTTGGGTACCAGTTCTCTGAAGTCTTTCATGATTTCCTCTGTAATAAAAGATGAGAAAAAGTGGAAAGATAGTGATTAATGAAAATCTAAGATGAATAAATGGTTCTTTACAAACGTCCATTTCTGCTGATTGTTTACCTGCCAACCAGCTCAGGTAACTAGAGACCTAAAGGTTAAGCCAAGGCAAGGGACAGGATAGCTCAGGGGTCCGCAAACATAGAATGAGCCAGATGGTAATGATTTTCAGCTTTGCAGACTACGTGGTCTTGCTGGAACTACTCCGATATGCTGTTACAGCAAGAAAGTAGCTACAGACAATATATAAACCAATGAGGGTGGCTGGATTTGGCCTGGAGCCCATACCCACCTCTATTACCTGAATGACACCATGGAAGGAAAGCTTCAGTGTGCGCTCTTTAACACCAAACCATTCGGGATAAAAACCGTAGCAAAGTGTGAATTCTGAGTGGGCTCTGTAAGAAATATAACCCATAAAAGAATCTGAAACAATGTGGTATCCATGAAAAGTTCATTAGTATAACCTTGAAATAAAGACAGTTTTATTTGAGCCAAACTGAAGGCTGAGAAGAAGCCTGGAAACACCAACTCCCATGGACATGTAGGAGAAATGTTTCAGAGCCCAAGTCATACAGAGGTGGTCTATCTTCAAGGGGACAAGGAAAAAATAACTTTAAAGGGGTACATCCATTTACATAAAATATGGGATGCTTAAAAAAAAGATAGGGGTTTACATACATCTTGGCACCAAAGGGTGTTAATAAGGAAAGGCAAACATTGTTGCTCATCTTGACAGGGAAAACAGATGTGGTTCATACTTTGCTTACCTTGACCTTGGTTATAATTAACAGCAGGTATTACAGAGTTAGATAGTTTCAGTTTGAAGAGTGGCCATTTGAGACAACCAGCAATGATGAAACATTGAATACCAAGCCCTTAGATATCTTTTTACTGGTCAGCTTTTCTTTAGCTTACCAGGGAAAACTGGATATGGATTGGGTATTAATGCACAGGACAGAATTATTATCAGATCTCTTCAGTGTGAATATGTTGGTGACATAGAGATGAAGTGTCAGGACATTTATTTGCAACATAAATCCTTCAGCAGAATATATATGGAAGATGAACCCAAAACTATATGAAAAAGCTCATAATTGTTGAACGTAATTGAGTGGACATAGGGGTGTCTAATAGACGATTCTTTCAACTTCTCTGCTTGAAAGCTTTCAAACACCTGCAAACAAAAATTCCTGACTGCCACCTTACTGCACAGCCTTGAGGAAGTCACTGCATCTTACTGAATCTTGTTTCCTCAATGACAGAACTTGGGAAAATTGTCATAGGACTGCTGTGGAGATCAACTGGTACAGGTGGAAATGTTGGAAGCATGTGGGAAGAGAAAGCGTGTTGGAATGTGAGTGCCTGAAGGTGGCCCTAACAGCACAGAAGTGACGAAGCTCCTCCCACCCCAACCCTAAACCTGGTCCCCCAGCAGGGTAGGGCCTTTATTTTAAAAGGGAGGTTTACTTTCCAAGACTCACCCTCAACAGGGCTGTGAAGTTCCTGCCCCTTCATTTGTTGTTTAAACTGACATCAGAGGAACACCAGTGTCTAGGACAGGACCAGAGCATTTCAACTGCTACTTTGCAAATGAATTCTTATATCACAAAGATGTTTACCTTAAATCTTAAAAATAACACTTAACTATATACATATATAGAGAGAGAACACAAACTTACTAAGTTTGACCTAGGTCACATCCTAAAGTTGGCACTTTTAGCAAACCGAGGGATTATGTAACCATGACATAACACATGACAGTGGTTTGGAATGTACTAAGAGCATCGTGCACATTCCCTCCCCCCTGGGTTCACCTAGACTCACACAGAGGGAGGAACCCTGCCCACAAGGAAACTCTGCTCACAGGACCGATTTTCCCTAATTTTCTACCTCTTGAGTTTATCTTACAAAAGCAGGAAGATTATTGTCCTGGGCTGGGGCTCATTCCAAACTACTGCTGTGGGGCCATCAGCTCCTATGGAATCTACAAGGGGCTCCCTAGGAAAGGTCACACTCCAGCCGTTAGGGAAAACATAATCCCCGAGACTTGCAAACCTTAGCAACCAGAGAGACTTTGAACTGTGCTGAATCAGACTTGGAAAACTCATCCAGATTTTCTATCTGACTGGACTTTGGAGTAGATTGGTGAATTTGTTACCTTTTTTGAAATAAACAGGAAATTGTAAAGACTGATAAACACATGCCACTGTACATCCTTCACGGTGCCTCCCTTATGGGGCCACCTTTAACACTGTACCACACTGACAAGCTGGGAAATTGGCACTGACAATTCTGTTAACTGGACCCACACCTTAACTTGGAAGTCAGCAGAGTTCATAGGCAAAAAGAAATTTTTTTCATTCTATGCAATTTTGCCACATGGCCACTATTCAGTTGCTGTATTCACTTTCTCCCCCAACATTGATGTTCCCACATCCTTACATATTTAAACAGAACTGATGATGAAAATCAAGCATTTTGGTCCCCGAGATGTCTGCATGGAGCTGCAGCCTCTACTGAGACCGGAAGGTGAGTCTGGTGAGCAGCCTCCACGGAGTGTCCCTGGTCTGATGTGGCCCCACTGCCCCTGACCTCGTCCCCAGCCCTGCCCCCTCTCCCTGCTCTGCTATACTGCCCTCCCTCCACCCCAGGGTGTGTCTCCTCAGGGCCAGGAGCCCCTCTCCCAGGACTACACACTCGTCAGTGGCCATCAGTGCTTCTGTCCCCTGCACAACTGCCTCTTTCTACCCTCAGCT